CCCCCCCCCCCCCCCCCCCCCCCCCCCCCACAAAACGCAGGTTCCATTTATCGGAACCCCGGTTGACGCCAAGCTCGTACATACCTGGGCAGAACCCGTATCACCCCGCCGACGAAGTGCTTGAGGTATGTCCGCCGGCTGATGAAGAGAAACGGTAGTGTCACGCGGCTCCATCTTCACACAACCGGCGCCAAAGGCGCCAAACGGGCGACAAGCATACCAAGAGCCATGGTGGGGGAAAACAGCCGGCAGTCAGTGTCTTGAGAACCCCAACTCTCTTCAGTTGTTTCGAACCTGCCTGCAGCTACGCAGTTTCTGTTGAGAATTCAACTCCCTCTCTCTTGTTTCAAGCTTGCAGCTACAACAGAACTCCTGTTGTATAGTGAAAGCACGCGCCAGTGTGTTGGTGGTCCGTTGACACCGACGATAGTGGTGGCCTACAAAGTCGAAAGTAAACCGTTAGACTAGTCAGCGCTGACTAGTCAAATGGGTTGATTTCAGCTTCTACAAAAGTTAGTCGTGTGGTCCGGATACCCGTTGCACGATACTTCCGAGGACGGTGGCACTCCCCTCGCCAGCCGCTACTTCCGTCCCAATGGTTATTCCACTTAATATTCCGCGGGGAAAAGTTGCCTCGGTGCTCAGTCTGGGCGGAGAGGAAAACCGTCCCGTGAAAATAATGGAAATGAATAATCGTGGCCGTGCCCGGTCATTTGAATGGTACGCGAGGGAAGAGAGCCGCGTAGACACAAACGGAATACCGACAGCCTGGGACAGCTCCTGCCGTCATCATTGTTGTTCTATTGACTTCACACACGACGCAACCGCTGATGTTGTTCTCAAGTGAAAACCTAACCCCACGAATTATTGCTGGACGAGAGACACACAGAGAGAGACCCTGTAGAAGGCCCAACCAACGTTCACGCATTCGCTAACCGAGTGCAGAGCAGTAGATAGCTCACCAACGTAACTTTCGTTGGAAGAGTCGGCGTGACTGACCGAAACCGCAATGACAACACAATCGTCACCCACACACACGCACGCGGGCACGCCGCAATCTACCACTCACCGACTGGGGGGGGGGGGGGAACACTCAACAGTACATATAATGGCAACAATTAAAATGCTTCGTTGAGTCTAGGGCACAATAAATACTTCGAAGTACCTGTGCCAGGGGATTTTGAAAACGTAATGTGCGAAAATGTTGGTGAGGAGGCCGAAGGCCAAGAGAGTCACCATGCACGTCCGCG